TCTGTTTCCTGAACTTGGCCTTCCAGCAGGCCTGCCCCCTGCCTTCTGCCACCCACCCCAAACCAAGCAAGTGAAAGAATGAGTCTGTGGTTTGATTATTTTTCCTCTGGTTGCCATATGTCAAGCAAGCCTGAAAGTGCTTGCTATGTGCATGCTTCTAGGGGATGGGGGAGTGGGAGGGGAGATGTGGGAGGGCCTGTGGGGGGGGGGGGGGGCGTGTGTATTTGGGAGTCCCCAAAGGAGCTCTGGTGGCGTAGTACCTAAGGCATCTGACTGCTAACCAGAAGGCTGGGGGTTCAAACCCACCAGCCACTCTGCGGAAGGAAGGTTGGGCAATCTACTTCTGTAGTGATACTGCCCCAGAAACCCAAGGAGGAGTCGCTATGAGTCATATTCGACTCGACGGCAGTATTTGGTTGGTTGGTTGGTTGGATGGGGACATAAGTCTGTGTCTGAGTGGGTTTAAATAGTTTGCTGTCTCTTCTGTGATCGGGTATCTGTGTGTTTGTGCTGCTTCTTCCCAAGTGTTGATTTCAACAAAATGTGGGCATAAGGAAATAGGGGGCTGAGGAAGGACCCACAGGTTTCTTGCCTGCAGCAATCATCTCATGAAAGGACTGCCGGGGAGTGGGGAGGTCCTTTGGTGAGTCCGAGTCCCTGTCCTTCTCCTCTGACCGTCTGCCACCTCCTCTCTCAGAACATGCTGCCCAGGAAGACTGCCCAGATCCTCATGTGCTGAGGTATAAGTGACTGTCAGGGTGTCATGTGGCCTTGCGTGTGCAACAGGAGGTCCTGGGCAGTCTGACTTCCTCAGCACAGCCCTGCCTGCTCTGAGACCTTGGTGAGGTCATTTCATCTGAGCCTCAGCTTTTCTATCTGTAAAGTGGGAGCAGGAAGGCCTCCCGTGGAGGGTGTGTGGGTACGGTGAGAACGTTTCTGTCCCAGCATCTGGCACACAGTAGGTGCTTAATAATCGTTATTCTCAGCCCCTCCTCAGCCCTCTCATACGGTGAACTGTGTGCGTCTGCTGGCCGTGGGGAAGGGTCAAGGGACCAAAGGAGAGGGGACTGACGTTTACCAAGTGCTTGCTGTGTGTACTCCAGGCCCTCTGCTGGACGCTTACATGTGCGTTACCTCAATGAGCCCACACGGTGACCCCCCCAGGTAGCACTGTTATACAAACCCACTGCCATCGAGTCCACTCCACTCATAGCGCCCCTACTGGACAGAGTAGAACTGTCCCAGTGTATCTCCAAGGCTGTACGTCTTTCAGAAGCAGCTGCCTCATCTTTCTCCTGTGGAGTGGCTGGTGGGTTCAAACCTCCAACCTACTGCTTAGCAGCCCAGTGCTTTAACCACAGCGCCACCAGAGCTGCTTAGGCACTATTAGTCCCCCAGTTTACAGCAGAGAAGACTGGGACGGGAGAGGGGAAGTGACTTGCTCAGAGCCACATAGCCGAGATTTGAAAGAGTACTTGCCACTCTGTGCCATTGTCTGGGGTGGGCTCAGCCAGGCTCCAAAGTCCTGCAAAACTCAGATTTCTCCAGGCCTCCCTGCAAGGCTCCCTGAGCATTCCTTGGCCCTGTCCCTTCCACAGCGTACTCCCCCCCCCCAACTTTCCATCTCCCATCTCCAGCCACCGGCTGGATCCTTCAGCCCAAGTCCCACTCCCAATGAAATGGGAAAGGAAGCCCGGGGATTGTGCTAGCCACCTTCACACCCATCAGCTGGCAAGCCCTGGGACGGACGTTGAAGTTATTTCCCTGTGAGATGGATGAAACAAGGGCGTCTCGAGGGGGGCTAGTCCATGGTTCCCCGGGAGTGTGGGAACCAGTGCAAACTTGACTGGTCCCCAAAGCCAAGGCCATTCCCTGGCCATTTTATCTGAGAGTCAGGTTCAAAAAAACCCCAAAGTCTAGTACTTTATATGCCTTAATAGAAAATGGCTTGAGTTTGCAGGTATATCCACCCCCCTGTTGTATTTTTGTTATAGTGGCACTAGATAGCAACAGCTGGGTGCCTTTAACACAGATGTTTAGTCTCCTGGGGTAAGGAGGCTAGCAGTCTGAGTTCAGGCAGCTGGCTGTGGGTGAAGGTTCCTGTTCCTTGGCTCTGTGGGGATCTTTGTGGGGCACGGGGTCTACCCTCTCCCACCTCTGCTTCCTCCTCTGGCCTAACCTCCTTTTATATCCCAAAGGCAATCGGCTTGAAGCACACCTACATGGATGTAGGCTCTTGAACACTTGGACACAACAAAGGAAGCCCAGCCCCAGATGTTGTTGTTGTGGGCCGTCGAGTCGGACCCAACTCATAGTGACCCCTCCTTGGGTTTCTGAGGCGGTATCACTACAGAAGTAGATTGCCCAACCTTCTAAGGAGTGGCTTGGGGGTTTGAATCGCCAGCCTTCTGGTTAGCAGTCAAGTGTCTTAGACACTATGCTACCAGAGCTCCCAGTCCCAAAAGTAGGGATTCGGATTTACAACACAGATTTGGGGGAACACAGTTCAGTCCACAACAGCAGAGGTTCATCTTGTCTGACTCTGTGTAAAGCACGGGGACCAGATGACACTTCCCACATGCAGTCCTCTTGCACCCTCCCAGCCAGCCGGCCAGCAAGGGCACCCCATTTCACAACTAGGAAAGCTGAGGTTCGTTCGTTCTTGGCTGAATTGTTAGTTATGTCCATGTGTGTCTCCTAACTCATGGGGACGTTCACCTTTGCCTTCCCTCCTGGGCCTGAGCCCAGTGCCTGTACAAGGTGATGCCTGGGAATTGTTTTCTGAAGGAGGAACGAGGAAGGCAGGGCTCTGGGTATAATCTGGGGAAGAATTAGCTCCCTTTAGCCCATCTGTCTTGGAGGCTCTCCAGTGCTACTCCCCTGAGTCCAGGACACTCCCCCAATCCAGTCCAGGCCATGCCCCCCCCCCCCCAGTCCAGGCCACCTCTTTCTCATGGCCTGGCCTGCTAACTTCCTCCTGTCCCTTCTGTCCCCACAACCCAGTCTCCACACAGCAGCCAGTGCCATCTTTACAACTCTAGTCCCCCGAGTGGCTTCTCATCTCACCCAGATTTGTGTCCAAGCTCCTCCCCTCTGCATGTCTGACCCCTACCTCTTCCACCCTGTGCCCTGCACACGCCTACCCTGCTCTTGCTGCTCTGGTCCTCTGCTGGAACATGTCAAGCTCTTTCTGCCCTCAGGGCTATGTACATGCTGAGCCTTCTGTCTGGGCCATTTCCCCCTTAGCACTAGGGGGAGTTGAGGGCCCCCCACTCCCTCACCTCCTGCAAGTTGCTGTGCATTCTGTCATCTTGCTCCCTTGCTGGGACTTATTGTGACCCACAACACCTGTTTGCAGGTTTATTGAATTTATTGTTTTCTCTCTGGACTGCAAGTTCCGTGAGGGCGGGGCCCGTGTGTCTGGAAACACAGTTGGCCTCTTAAAAGTTTGTAGAAATAGCTTTGAAGTAGGTACAAATTTTACAGAGGGAACGAGTGAAGCTCAGAAAGGTTGATCACCCACCCAGGATCACACAGCAAGGATACTGACCCTAGGCTGCAAAATGCATGCTCCCAACCCCTCTTCTTGCCTGTCTAGAGAACAGGAGCTGCTGCCAGGCTCTTGGGTTCACAACTGAGTGTGGACCACATGAATCTATATGGGTATTCTGTGTATGTGCACGCACATGCACGTGCGTGTGTGCATGCACGGATATAAGCCTTTGGACAGAGAGGACCCCACACAAACGGTGTTGCCCATCCACTTCACAGTCTTCTTGGCTTCTCCATCCCTCCCTCCCTGTTCCTTTGTGCTGCCATTGGCTTCTTACGCTTTCATGAGATCCCGTTACTAGGCATGCCTGCCCCTTAACCTCTACCTCCCATGCTTCCAAACTGGACCCTGAAACACTTGACACCATTGTTAGTCTTCCAGTGTACAAGCTTTAATCAATGTTGCATAGAAATCACTGTAGTAACATGTTCCTGTAATAAGATTGACTTCTAGCATTCCACATGTGGTGGTATCTCTCATTCAGATGAAACTGACACAGGAACAGGCCGGGGGCATGTCATTTCATCAGTTGTATTTCCTCCCTAAGGAATAGGAATGAAGTCACTTAACCTTCTCCTCTGAGTGCTTCTTTGTAATTGGGTTTGGGACATGGGGGGATGTTTAAGACTATCAAGGTCCTTTTGACCTATGTGAATGTACCCATTCATCTGTGTCCTATCCATTCATCATCCAGCCATTAGTTCACTCATTCTATCCATTTATCCAACATTCAATTCAACTGTATCCCATCCAGTCCAGACCAGACAAGTATCTATTCTCTGTCCAGTTACATCCAGCTGTACAGCTGCGTGTCCAATTCACCATCCATCAACCAACCAAACTTCCAGCTATCTCCATCCAGTTAATCATCCTGTCAAACATTTACCCAAGCAACCAAGTCATCCATCCAACCTACATCAGTCTGATTCATTTATCCAGCCAGCCAGCCAATCACATATCCATTCAGGTTTCCACTCATCCAGTTAATGTCCCCTATCCATCCACCAGAACAACCATCTTGTTTTGTTTGCCATTGAGTCGGATCTGACTCATAGCGACCTCTCCTTGGGTTTCTGAGGCAATATCACTACGGAAGTAGGTGGCCTAACCTTCCTTCTGAGGAGGGGCTGGTGGGGTTGAACCGCCAGCCTTCTGGTTAGCAGTCAAGTGCCTTAGGCACTATGCTACCATGCTTCTATAATCCATCTACCTAACCATCTTGTAATAGATTTTTACACCCAGTCATCCCCCAGCCACTCATCCATGCTTCATCTAGCTAATCTGCCCTCCTCCCGAGTGTCCTATCCAGTTTATCGAAAGAACCAGTCCATCAACACATCATACATTCAACTAGCCCACTGCCGTTGTTCCGCCTTTCGCCCTCTTTTCCCTCGCCTGGTCCCCTGTGACCTGGTTGAGGCAGAGCCTGCACCTACCTCACCCACCCTCAAGGCCCAGCTGGGCTGCTTCCCTCGTCTGCAGGGGCCTGTGGCTCTTCCCTACCTGCGCGAAGGCCTGCGCTCGGCCTCTTTGTTCTGTACGCCTGCTGGTTCCTCTTGACCTTCCTCTTGTTCACCTTTCTTCTCAAGGGCTTTCTGTTCTTGGAGTGGCTGTTGCAAGGGGCAGTGACCCGCGTGGGGGAGTTGTGGGAGTGCATGGCCTGCTTGGGCCTTGGTGGCAGGACAGGGTTTGGACTCAGGCTTTGGGGGCCGGCTGGGCTTTGGGAGCCGGCTGGGTTGCGGTGGCTGGCTGGGCTGCGGTGGCTGGCTGGGCTGCGGTGGCTGGCAGGGCTGCAGTGGCTGGCAGGGCTGCGCCGGCTGGTTGGGCTCTGGCTGGGGCTCCGGCTCTGACTGCAGCCCTCACACCGGTGGCTACACTTACACTGGCTGCAGATGTGACTTCGGGACCGGGAGTTGCTGTAGGGCTGGGGTTGAGTGATGGGAAGGCTCTGCATCTTGGGGTCCGTGGGAGGCCACGCTTGGAGGAACAGAGGCCACCTCCTCCTCTGCCAGTAGGCCCAGCTTTACAGGAGCCCTGCAGCCCCCGGTTTTATAGTTGGGGCCGATTGTGATGGCATAGGACACAGGATGCGACAGATGTGGCCCAGCCCTGGGCAGAGCCCCCTGCTCCCCACCCCCCACTCCCCAAGGCAGGGTAGCTCTCAGAGGCACCCTGGGCAGTCCGTCTGTTGCAGGGGCCCTTGGGCTAGGTTGTGCCGGGTCTCCATCCCCGATCTCAATCCTCACTGTTAGACCTGGGCCTTCACCTCCTCAGGCCCCAGTTTCCCCATCTTTGTAGAATAGGGCCAGTAGTCGTACTCACCTCATAGGGATGTGGGGAGAATTAAATGAGAACCTGTGACCAGTTAGCTCGGGGCCAGCACACAGTAGGAGCTCAGTAAATATTGTCTGTTAGCAGTGCCCACACTCTGTCTTATTCTGCAGTAGCTCTAATTCTAGGAGCACAGCTCCAACCCCAGTAAGTGTATGGTTGGGTAGACGGAATCCGTGGATATTGTGAACAGTTAATGTACTCAGCAGCTAACTGAAAGGTTGGACATTCAAGTCCAGCGGTGCCTCAGAAGAAAGGCTTGGCAATCTGCTTCTGAAAAGTCAGTCACTGTAAACCCTGTGGAGCCCAGTGGTGCTGGGACACACATGGGATCAATCAAACAGCAGCTGATTGGGTGGGTGGGCGAATAGTGGATCAGATGGATGATTAGATGGATAAATGGACTGATGATGAATTGATTGGGTTATTAGATGGATGATTGATAAGGTTAATTGAATGGACTGATAGTTGCTCCTGGGGTCTGCCTGGCAAGCCCACCTCCCCATCGAGAGCCAGGTTCAAATCCACTTGACACTGATGTGTACTCTTGGGTAGGTCACTTTGGTTTCTGAGACTTTGTTTCCTTATCCGATGAAGTGGCCTCCTTCCTTTCCTTCTGGGAATGTCTGTTCAGTCACCGGAAGCCACTGGGAATTGGTTTCCCTTCCTTCAGTTCCCGGTCCTGCCTCTGTCCCTCCCTGTGAGCATGCTACACTGTGCTCATTGCTATTAGCTGTTGAGTCCTGACCCCATGCACAGTGGAACGCAACGCTGCCTGACCATGTCACATCACACGGTTCTAATGACACTGTCTCCTGCTCAGACACCCCAGCCGCTCGAGAAGACAGCCTAGATCTCTCTCTGCACATGAGACCTTGTTTCAAGTCCCCCTGACCTGGTCCAGTACCTCTCAATGCACTGGCCCATATCTTGGTCAGTGACCTCGGGCTCAGCCCTTGGCCCTCTGGGCCTGTACTTCTGCAGGTCTTCCCATGGAACTCCCTGTCTCTATCTCTCCTCCCCAAGCAAGCCCCAGCCCAAGTGCACCTCTTGCTCCCCACGGTCATGTGCAACTCTGCCTCTCATCATGAGTGGTTGTTATTTGCTTTCTTTGTGGTTATTGCTCAGTAAGCGTATTGCGTCCCATACACGGTAAGGGACCTTGTTGACAGACAGTGTCACCTCACTGCCCTCGAACCTCACAACGAGGTTGAACTGTGGCCCCAGAAAACATATCTCCATCCTAACCCCCATTCATATATGACCCTGCTTGGAAAAGGATCTTTGAAGATGGGATGAAGTTAAGAATCTCAATACAAGATCACCCTGGATTATCCAGTGTACCCTAAATCTAGTGACAGTGTCTTGTAGATGTCAGAGGAAAAGACACACAGGGAGGGGGAGGAGAAAGAGGCCACGTGAAGGCAGCCTGGGCCCCCAGAACCTGGAAAAGGCAGGAAGAGTCCCCTCTCCAGACAGAGACTGGCCCTGCCAACACTTTGTTTGATTTTGCACTTCTGGCCTCCAGAACTGAGAAAGAACAGATTTTTATTGTTTCATGTCACCTAGTTTGTGGTGATTTGTTATGGCAGCCACGGGAGACTAGCAATGGCTCAGAGAGGTTGAGTAACTGGCCTAGAGGACCACAGCTTGTCGTGCAGAGCTGGGATGTAAGTCCTCACGATCACTCCCAGGGCCACATGGCTGGCTTGGTTCTAGTGGCCCAGCCTCTTGTGGAGGCTCAGTGGAGAGGTGCTGGTTCTGGACCTCCTCCCCAGCCCCACTCCGTTACTCAAGGGTATAGTGTGGAGATCGGGGTCCACTGGCAGGACCAGCCTCTCTTTGGCACAGCCCTCCTTCCCATGCAGTCCCTCCCGACACCTGCCCTTCCTCATCGCTGTGAGCTGGGCTTAGGACAGAGGGTGTTTTATTCATTCTGGGACCACAGTGACTGCCGCTGACCCACATACAGCAGAGCTGCTTTCTGAGTGAATGGATGGGCAAGTGGGTCTATGGGGCTTACACAGGGACGGACCTGGCTGACAGTAGGAGGTGTGAGTCACGGGATAACAGGGGCCTCTTCCTGCCCTCCCCTTTGCCACCTGCCGTCCGCAGGCTCTGAGGCGGCCTCACCCTCGGGTACCTTCGGGTCTGAGGCAGCTAGCCCCCAAGGAAACGGACACCTCCCAGAGTGCTGGTACCCCCAGGACCTGCTCAGGATCCTCCCGGGGCCCAGTTGGGTGATGCTTAGGGGCTGCTGAGAGAGCAGGGCAGGGCAGAGATCATATTTGTCATTGTTTTTTAAAGAAAGGGGTTAAGGGAGCTGGGGCAGGATGGGTGACACTTTGACGCTGTCGTAGAAGGAGCACTGGGTTGGCAGTCAGAGTCAGAGGACAAAGGGCCTGCTCCACCTGCTTCCAGCAGCCTCTCTGGGCTCTGTGGGCTCATCACTGTCACGGGCCATTGGCTCTCCCCTGGAGCTAGACCTTGATGAAGGCAGGAGTGAGCCTCCTGGGGGGGGGGTTCCTGTCCGAGGGGGGCTGAGACAGGACCAGACCCCTCCACACACTGACCCAAAACCAGAGCCAGCGAAGCAGAGGGACCTTTCACCGTGACCCCAATGGCAGTACCCTATTAATTGCAGCCTACATGCTGAGCCTGGTCCTACCCAACCTTTCAGTTTGTTCTCCCGACCAACCTGTGGGATAGGGACCACCTTGCCCTTAAACAGAGAGTGACAGTGACTTGCTCATGTTCACACAGCAGAAAAGAAACTTGAGCCAGGTCTTTAAGAGAGTGTCCACAGAGCAACACAAGGGGGCTGACTCACTGAAGGAGGTGACCCTGGAATCCCCTGCCTGGGGGCTGAGGTGACCTCCCAGCCCTGGCCAGGACATTTCCACCTCCTTGTGAGTAGACCTGGTGAGACCCTCCAGCTGGGCTGAGAACAGGGTCACTGAGTCTAGATGTTCATTCTCAGCGACTGTCGAGGCCACACACACACACACACACACACCCCGTGCACGCACGCACACACATCTGCACGTACAGAACCAAGAGGGACGAGGATTCCTTGGAGAATCTTTATTGACTCTTTTCTGAAAGTTCTTGGCTCTGGAGCAGCAGCGAGCACCCCGTCTTGGGCCATCTTTGCGGGTCAGGAGTGCACCGGCTTGGGCTCCTGGCTCTGCTGGATCACGGGCCCCTCCTGGGCTCTCTCTTCCTGCCGCCCGGCCTCCATCAGCAGCAGCTTGCCCTGCACAGGGATCTCTTCCTCCCCTTCCTCCTCCTCTTCCTCCTCCTCCTCCTCTTTCTCGTCCTCCGATGACAGGGAGAAGTTGTCCTGACTCATGCAGGCCACGAGCTTCTTCATGGAAGATTCACGGCCCCGGCTGTGGCTTGAGCTAAGCTTGACACAGTGTGAACCCATTGCCTGTGCTGGCTGCCTCTCTGATTCAGGGGAAGAGGCAGCTGGACTGGATGCTAGGCCCACAGGGTAGCAGGCAGGGCGCTGACATCACAAAGGGGCTCCTGGAGCCCCGCCCCCCACCAGCTGACATCTGACTCAAGCCTCAGCCACCAGCAGGGCAGGGCAGGGAGGCCAGTGCCAGGTCCCCCCTATACCACCTTGCCTGCCATGCTGTCTCCTCCCTCTGGCCCCCTTTGCCCTGGTGAAAGTCCAAATATTGTGACAGTCACACAACATTGTGAATGTACTACACACCAGTGAATTATACACTTTAAAACCGTTGACTTCATGTTATGTGAATTTCACTTCCAATTTTTAAAAAAGGAATTGTAGATTCCAAGTTGAAAATACAAAGTCCTAACTTTAGCTGGGATGAGGGATGGGGATAGAATTTCTGGAAGTAGGAAGGGGGCTGTTGAGAGTCTGTGGCAATGGGGTCAGAATGGAGGTTACCTTCAGGCAGGGTGAGAAGAGTGCCTGCTGGGGCCTGCTCTGAGTGGTCCTTACACAGGTGTTCTCATAGGGAATAATTCACCCAGCTACACACTTCAAACAAGCTATACCACGATGAAACGGGAAAGGGGCAGAAAGCAAAGCCCTTGTAACTCTTCAGAGCCTGCAAGTGTGGTCCACTACAGCCACCCTTTGGAAAGCAGCAGCTCCCACACTTTTTGGGGGCCACGAGTCTTTTTGACGATATCACGGCACTGCCCCGTCCCAGGCCGCACATGTCTGTATGACACAGTTTCAGCATGGCAGTGGTTTAGCGCAGGACTCACGGACCGTGACTTTAAGGGGATCTGGCCTTTCTGAGCACTTGGAGTCCATCTTCTAACATGGAAGTCAGATCTTGCCAATTTTGTTCTAAATCCCCCACGATGTTTGTGGTAGTCTATTTGCAGGCCCCTAAAATAACCCCGTCCTGATCTCTGGGACCTGGGTCTGAGCCTGGGACCTGGGACCCTTTAATGGCAAAGACTTGGCAGATGGGAGTCAGGCTCTCGGGTTAGATTATCCAGCTGGGGCCAGTTTATTCACCAGTGTCCTTCAGACAGAAGGCACTGTGACCCCAGAGGCAGTGATGCGGTGAGATGTGGCCACAAGCCCAGGAATGCTAGCAGCCACCAGAAGCTGCCATGGCTTTTCCCCTGGAGCTCCAGGAGGCCCTGGCAACACCTTGTTTTTGTCCCAGTGATACTGATTTCAAACTTATGGCCTCCAGAACTGAGAGAGTAAAATTTAAGCCAAGTTTGTGATCATAGGAAACTAATGCAGCATTCCACCTCAGCCTATCCCAGTAGCCGACCGACAAGGCCTCGTGATCCGGCCCCTCCTCCTGCTCCTGGCGTGGATGCTCCTCCTGCTTCCACCACCCACCTCTTCCTGGAGCCCACCCAACCTGCTTCCCACTCAGGGCCTTTATCCTCCTTCCTTGTCAGGGTCCAACTCACTTCAGTCGTCAATTGAGTCACCCTGGGATCTCCAGATCTGCCCACAGGCCACCCAGCGCCAACCACTGACCCCTGCTTTGTCCCCTCACGTCACACTGTCACCCACGAGGTAGTGACTTGTTCTTTGCTGTTAACTCCCCAGTGTTTTAAAACCATGTACACTCTGTTAAGACAGCCACAAGGGGATTTTTTGATCAGCTGTGACAGGTTCACCCACCTTTCTTGAACTGGTGGCACTGTGGTTAAAGCATTGGGCTGCTAACCAAAAGGTTGGCGGTTTGAGACTAGCTGTTCTGCAGGAGAAAGATGAGGCAGTCTGCTTCTGGGAAGACTGACAGCCTTGGAGACCCCATGGGGCAGTTCTGCTTGGAAACCCGATGGGGCCATTCTGCTGTCCTATAGGGTCACTATGAGTTTGGAGTCGACTTGACGGCAGTCGAGTTGGGTTGGTTGGGTTTTGGTCTGTGACAAGTTCACCCGCTTTTTCTTGGAGCAGGGTTAAGGTTCTTCCGGCTGAGCCTAGCCTTGGCTAAAGACCTCTGGGGACTGGGGGCCGTGAGTGAATGCAGAGGTCATCAAGGGGCAGTGTGCCCACTGGTGTTCAAGGCCCAGCGTCGAGCCCTGGCTCCTGGTGACGGAGGACGCTGAGTGTCGTGGTCACGCGCGGTGCCGTCCCTAGCCCACCACCCCCTCCCTAGAACCAGGAGCATGGGCTGCGACCCGCCCATCCAGGGGAAGCCAGGCGCCCTTGTGCACAGAGGAGGCCTGCAGACCAGCGAGTTTCTTGTCAAGCTTTATTTGGCAGGTGACTTGTGCACATTGTTCTCAGGTCTTGTGGGCTCCTTGGTGACTCAGGGCTCAGGCATCCAGTGTGGGGGGATGGTTATGGCCTCGTGTGGTGGTTGTGTGGCAGATGACTTGTTGTTAACCGCTAGCCAGGGGTGATGGGCCTGGGAGGCTTAGTACCGTCTGTATCTCCTCCTCATCCTTCTGCAGCCTGGGGGGAAAGGCAAGTTGCGGTTAAGAGGTGCCCCAGGAGTTGGGGGGGGGGCTCGGGGTCTTCCTCCCTTGGAGGCTAGCAATGGAGTTGGGGGCCCAGGGAATGGGTGAGGCGCACGGTGGGGTGTGGGGTGTGGGCCCCTCCTGTGAGCCCACCTCTGCGATGCCTACGCCTGCAACAGCGGCGGCGGCGTCTGCCGCAGGACCGGCGCCGCCGTCTGTGGATGCGGTACAGCCTCCTCCGGGAGCAGCGCCTGCGCCTAGAGCGACAGCGGGTTCTGTGGGTCCTTGCGTGGACCTGGATGCTGTCTGGGCTCAGCCACTGCTCCTGCTCTTGGTCCTCGCCTATTTGCTTCTGCTCAGGGTTCTGCAGCCTGTACCCCTGGCGCAGATGCTCGCTCGGGCTCCTCGTGCGGTAGCGGACCATCTTGCTCGGAGATCAGGCCGCTCGTAGGCGGAGGCTGCAGCTGGCCTTGGGGAGGGGGAGGAGGGCTGAGGCCTGCCCACCTGCTCTTGGTGTAAATGTTGGTCTGGTTTTCGGGGCTCCCTGGGGGCTTGTATATAAAGGGGGCCCCCCACTATGACCTGGCAGCCCCGCCCAATGACGACCCCGCCCCCTCAGCCCCCTCTGTGATGGCAACAGGGAGCGTCACAGGGCAGGGGGGCACAGCGAGGAGCCCTGGGGCCCAGGCTCGGGGCTCCTAGCGTTGCCTGTCTCTGGTCCCTTTCAGCAGGTGGGATTCCCAGGTCACTAGGAAGAGCATCAGCTTGTCGTGTTCCAAACCCCAGCCCCCCTACTGTCCAGCTGCCAGAATGCCCACATGGTCTTCCCTGAGGCTACCCCACCTCCCTCCGTCTGGGGTTGCCACGGCCTGGGGTTGTGTTCAGTAGCAGTGGGTGTGGGATGGGCCTCTTTTACTACTTATCTAGCCACACATTGACTGTGGAAATGAACACCGTATTAACAATAATAGGAGACAAATGACCTGTGGTTACTATGGGCCACCATTTACTCCTAGCTTTCCATACACTCATTCATTGACTCGTTGTTAGCATCCCTGTTTTCTGTGGGGCAAACCAAGGCCCAGAAGAGGTTATGTGACTTGTTCAGAGTCACTCAGCTAATAGGGGCAGAACCAGGATTGAGATTAAGGTCATGTGGCTTCGGAGTCCCTGTCATCTTTCCAACCCTCCCCAGCCTAGAACACCCTTCCTTCCCACACATAGTCTCTTCTTTCCTTCCTTTCTGCCCTCCTCCTTGGGCACTTGTAATTCTTTGATGATCCCATAATAATCATAATCATAGCACCTAGAAACCACTTTCTCTTTCGTAGAGGGCAAGGAGGGTATGGTAGGCAGGATGATGTCCTCCCAAGTAAGTGTCCATGTCCTAGTCCTCAGAACCTGTGGCTGTGGCACTTTACGTGACAAGTGCCTTTGCAGGTGTGATTCAGTTAAGGATTTTGAGATGGGATGTGACCGTGAATTATCTAGGTGAGCTCAGGTTATCACAGGGGTCCTTACAAGTGAAAGAGGGTGGCAGGCAAGACAAAGCAAGAGAGGTTTGAAGATGCAGTGCTGCTGGCTTTCCATCTTCAGATGGAGGAAGGGCCCATGAGCCAAAGAATGCGGGTCACTTCTAGAAGCAGGGAAAGGCAAGGGAATGGATTCTCCCCTAAAACTTTCAGAAGGAAGGCAGCAGCCCTACCAACACCTTGATTTTAGAGACAACTGTCAGAATGCTGACCTCCAGGACCGTAAGATAATAAATGTGTGCTGATTAAGCTACTATATATGTGTTAATTTGTTACAGCAACAATAAGAACCTAATGTTATTGTGTGCCTCAAGTCAATCTCAACTCCTAGTGACCCTATAGGACAGAGTACACCTGTCCCATAGGGTTTCCTAGGCTACCATCATTGTGGGAGCAGACCTCAGGGGCTTTTCTCCTGGGGAGCCACTGGTGATTCAAACCACCAACATTTTGGTTAGCAACTGAGCACTTCACCATTGCTTAAGAAGCTAATGAACCAAAAACCAAACCTGGTGCTGTCGTGTCAATTCTGACTCATAGCAACCCTATAGGACAGGTAGAAGCCCATAGGGCTTCCAATGTGTAAATCCTTAGGGAAGCACACTGCTACATCTTTCTTCCATGGAGCAGGTGGTGCATTCGAACTGCCAACTTGTTGTTAAGGCTCCGTCAAATTGGTTCTGACTCGTAGTGACCCTGTATACAACAGAATGAAACACTACCCCATCCTGGTCATGCTCACAATTACTGCTATGCTGAGGCACCTTGTTGCAGCCACTGTGTTGATCCATCTCGTTGAGCTCTTCTCATTTATTTCCTGACCCTCTACTTTACCAAGCATGCTGTCCTTCTCCAGTGAGTGGTCTCTCCGGATAACATGTCCATACTCCATGAGATAGAGTCTTGCTATCCTTGCTTCTAAGGAGCATTCTGGCTAGACTTCTTCTAAGACACGTTGATTTGTTCATTCTTCTGTCAGTCCATTCTTAGTCAACACAAAATCCAAAGGCATTAATTCTTCTTTGGTCTCCCTTGTTCATTGTCCAGCTTTTATATGAATATGAGGTGATTGAAAATACCATGGCTTGGGTCAGGTGTACCTTAGTCATCAAAGTGACACATCTCTGCTCTTTAACATTTTTAAGAAATCTTTTGCAACAGATTTTCCCAATGTAATATGTCATTTGATTTCTTGACTACTGCTTCTGTGGGTGTTGATGGTGGATCTTAGTGAAATGAAATCCTTCACAAGTTCAATATTTACTCCATTTTACAGAGGCTCTGGTGGCGTAGTGCCTAAGGCACTTGACTGCTAACCAGAAGGTTGGCGGTTCAAACCCACCAGCCACTCCTCGGAAGGAAGGTTGGGCAATCTACTTCCGTAGTGATACTGCCTCCGAAACCCAAGGAGGGGTCACTATGAGTCGGATCAGACGATAGCAGTGAGTTTGGAGTTTGACAGAGGCTCCTTATATAGAGGGCTTAATCTTCCAGTCCTCCCAGGAAGCAAGAGGTGGTATCCCCATTGCCTGGTGTTCACATGCTGCCTTCATTTTGGGTATGGATGGTGGATGAACGGGATCAACGCTGGCCCACAGTGATCGTATGTACAACCAGCAAAATGTTGGCCTCACAACTGCCGGCATGTTCAGGTCAATCACTGTGGCTGTTGTGCCAGTCCATCTCCCCAAGGCTCTCCCTCGACCTCACTGGCCTTCTGTTTCACCAAACATGATGTCCTCCTCTAGCAACTGATGCCTCCTTGTGATGTTTCTAAGCCAAGCAAGTCAGACGTATTCTCTTGCAATCCGGAAGATTTTCATTGGCTAATTTCCATAAATACCATCTTTTTTTTTCACAAATAACATTCCCATATAAATAACTTGCCCACACCTGTAACAACAGCATGCTTATGAAAAGAGCACGCAGGAATGGGTATGTTGTGCCATTAGCAAAAATGTGTAACATGCATGTTATTTATGTGAAAATGTGGTAAATTACCAGACCTTCCTTCCTACTCCGACTTAGTCTGGAATGTCTGCTGAAACTTGTCTACCATGGGTGACTCTGACGGTGTTTGAAATACCGGTGGCATAGCTTCCAGCATCACAGTAACGTACAAGCCACGACAGTGTATAGACTGACACTGACAGGCAGGTAAGTAGCCTTTTGGATAAGAAGTGCTTTATTAGTGTTAAAAATATAAACGCCCAGACCTTATTCCAGGCCCTGCTGAATCGGGATCTCCATGGCTAGAACTTGAGGTTCTATTTTTAAAGCTATTCAGCCAAACCGGTGTCACCTTTGGTCTGAATACGGGAAGCCATTGCTCTAGAGATGGGGACTATGGTAATAGGTTCAGCTCCCTGTGAGCCTCAGCGTCCTCGCCTGAAAAAATGAGGGAGGATATTGATACTTCCTTGTAAGGTTGCTATGAGGACTAGAGTCATTCTGCAGAATATATGGTACTCCTGAGTGCTCCATCAATGGAAATCATGGCCTTGATGTTTCTAAGGTGTTTGGCAGGGTGTCTCAGTTCTCTAGTGCTGCTGTAACAGAATTATCACAAGTGAATGGCTTGAACAAATGGAAGTTTATTATATCACAGTTTAGGAGGCTACAAGTCCAGCTTCAGGATGCCAGCCCTAGGGGAAGTCTTTCTCTCTGTCAGCTCTGAGTGAAGGTCCTTGTCTCATTTCACCATCTGTGGGCCGTGTCCCTTGGAGATCTCCATGTGTCTTGGCATCAGTATTCCTCTGGGTCTAGGAGGACAGGGACCCAGGGTCCAAAGGGTCCAAAGGATGCACTCCACTCCTGGCTCTTCTTTGTGGCCCCTCTGAGCTCAGCTGGATTGTTTAATCTCTTTAATATCTCAAAAGGGACTGACTCAAGGTATAACCTAGTCCGCCCTAGATTGTATTCTTCCTCATTAACATCACAGAGGTTTGGACTTACCACACATAGGAAATTACATCAGATTACAAAATGGACAATGATTGCATAATACTGAGAATTGGGGCTTAGTCAAAAGTTGATCATATTTGGGGGCACACAATTCAACACATAAGAGGTTCCTGCCTCTTTTGGGTCACTGATGAAGTATCCTAGGCTTTGCTCTGCCACCATAGATGGGTAACCAGAGTCCAAGTCATGGAATGTGAATGTCAGTCTTTTCTAGATTGTTCCAAAGACCAGTGTCCAACAGGCTTTCCTGTATTTGGGTTGTTGTCTGTTTCTGACCATCTGCTGAACCACTGGCACATCTCAGTGGGGGTGGTAAGCCTTGCTTTGGAAACATTGGTACAGGCCGTGTTTCATAGGTGGAGTGTGGACTAGTCAGACCAGGTGGGATTTCCGTACGTCCTCTACAGAGCTGTAAAGGTGGAAGCTTAGCTCAGCCTCTGCCTGGGCAAGTTAACGTGTTTGTACCCAAGGAGAGAGAACCTGACCCAGGGAGCTGTGAGCACCCACTCATTAAACTTAATGGCTGTCTGTAACAGGGAACTTTCTAAGAGTGGTTTTCCATCTTAACGTCAGGGCAGTGTGACCTAGCCAGGTATGGTATAGGCTGGGCAGTGATGAGCTGGTAAATGTTTAACTCGCTCTCAGTGGGCAGGCAGGGTGGGGGCGCCCTGGTTTGCCGATTTTTGTGATGTAAATACTTCCCCTGTGACCCATTGCAGCTGCCAAGATGGAGTCACTGAAAGTGAGGTTGGGAGTTGATGTACAGTCGGCCATCAGCCTGGCCCCAGCGCCCCCACTGGGTGGGAAGCCATAAAGAGATGGTTTGGGAGGCAGATTTTGGCTCAGAGTCTGAAGTAGTGTCATCAAGGGTATGGAACAAGATCCATTGTGACAACCATCATGCATGCTTCCCAGGACCTTTTCCCCA